ATGCGAACATGTGGTCCTCCACTTGTCGATCTTTAAATAATTGAATCAAAGAATTAGTGTCACCAATTTCAATCCTTGCTCTTTTCTCCTTCTGAATCAAATTGTAGGCATCCCTCTTAGAGAATCCGACATTCTCACATCCACCAACTTCCTCTGCAAGGTAGGCATATGCATCAACGGTTCTAATCCCTGCATCTGTCATCGATTTTAGGACGGAAGCTTTTTCCTCAATAACATTCCTACATGATCTTAAAAGGTGTCGGTCGGCTGGGCTAGCTAATTCATGGTTGTGGGATTCAATAAATCTTTTGACATGCCAGTAACCATTTTCATCTATGACAAACCTCACCATGACTGGACAACCAGTTCTGACAACTGGTCTAGTGAATCTCTTTCTCTTTCCTGAATTATGTCATCACTTTTCTTGAAACCAGCTTTTGAACAAACAAAGTCCTTCGATTTTATCTTTCTAGAATTTGGCCAAAAACTGTGATGATCCTTTCGGACACTAAAACCATTATCGTGAGCATAAGTGCAAAAACATTCATATGCTTCTGTCTCATCTTTATAAACAGCCTGAAAGAGCAACTAAAGCGCAACTAAAGCGCAACTAAAGTGCAACTAAAGCGCAACTAAAGTGCAACTAAAGCGCAACAAGTTCAATTTTTTTATTTATCATATTTATCCTAAAATCAATAATCAAAACTAAGCAACAACAACATTAGATTTTTTTTACTTTTTCGCCAAAAGAAATTTATTCTGCTTAAAAATCGCAAAATCAAAGATCCTAAGACTAATGAGCTGAAACCTACGTCTTCTTTCTGCGGCGATAATATTAAAACTGACTGTTTACAACTTTTTAAAATCGCAAAATCAAATATCCTAAGACTAATGAGCTGAAACCTACGTCTTCTTTCTGCGGCGATAATATTAAAACTGACTGTTTACAACTTTCTAACTTACCGATATGTTGAAACCAGAGGAATTTCCGGCTAAGTTAGGTTCTGATTCCAATTCATGCACCAGCCCTTTCGATTCATGCATCCTTTCCGATTCATGCACTCCCTCTTCCATGCCCTCTTCCACCTCCCTCTTCGCTGAGCAGTCCATTTCTTCTCTGCAATTTTCTGGCTCGTTTTTTCTTCTACAGCAGTACATATTTGCGTCTTTCGCGGGTATCAAAATGCAAAAATAGGGCGGCAAATGCTTAAAAGTTCAAATGAAATGCGTTATCGGGTCGGGTCGCTAACTCTGACAAGACATAAAGCAAATATATTAAATTAAAAAAATGCCTAACAGATGTCGCATTTCTATTGGCGACCGAACGGAGAGATGGCTTCGGTCACCTGGCCCAATAATTTGCACAAAGTTTGTGGCATCATCATCAGAAGAAATCAAAAAATGAATTATAAAAAATAAACTGTTGATTAGTATTGTAGTCTTACAATCAAATTAGAGAAGTCAACATCATAGCAATGATAAAATTTTGCAATTACGACATATTTATCATTTCCTATGTACCAAATCAGTTTCAGTGATCCTACGATTTGTACTACAGATTTACTCAATTTCCATAAAAAATTTCATCCAACAATTTTTCTCGACATATTCATGAACAAACAAGTTCCAGGAATTGTGTTGAATTCAAAAAATATTCTGCTTAAATAAATAAAACAGTATGTGAAATAGAATAACTCGACAATTTAAACAATGAAATCATAGATTTCTCAGTAACAATACATCATAATTGAAACTTAAATAAAATATTTTTTGTCAGTTACTAGAAAGCACAAGCACTTAAACGTTAATTACATGGCTTTTTTTAATCTCAATAGGAACTTACAGAAGTTCGGAGAAAATATTATAAATCTACCCAGAAAAAATAGAATAACTTAATAAAAAGTTATACTTTAACATGAATTGATGGTTGATAACAACATAAGGAACCTTGAGAAAAAGCAGATATAAAATATCTTACACATAAAATGTTGGATTTTAACAGAAAATGTATTTAAATAAACACCAGAAAACTGCTAACTCACTTGCATCAACTTTTCTCCTTTGTCACCATCAAACTTTTCAGGGAAGATAGCCGCATATATCATCAATAAACGGATCTTATTTTCCGGAGTAACTTCCTGTACGATAAGCTCACTTTAATATAAAATTAACATGGTGGATGGATGGTTGAGATGCCTAACTTCATACCACAATCAATGACTCCGGTTACCTGCTTTGCCTTCAAAAAACTGATCAAGTCTTTTGTCCCTGCATCTCCAAAGACTAGATCCTGTTCCAGTTTCCCAATTTCTCGAAGTCCAAGTTCTCTAATTAGTTCATTAATCTTCCCTGCTATCTGCACAAAATTACATCGTAAGACTGAAGAAAATTTGAATTTGCTAATTCATCACTACATACAAGACCGTGAAAATGCGTACATTATTGAAAGGAGATGTTAAAAAATTTCAAGTAACTTCTAAAAGCTAACATATTCAGTACTAGAATTATAAATTGCTATTATACTTTTTAAAAGCTTATAATAGTGGCCCTAGATAATGGATAAAATCTGTTCACTGATTCTGGACATACTAGAGTGAAATTCATATTAATGTTATGGTTAAAACAGTTTTCCCTTTGTATGCAATAATTACAATTGAAATAGCCATATGGAAAATATGCTAGAGATAGTAAATAAAATTGTTGCAAGAAAACAAGACCATGACAGCGTATTCATTAATATGAACACGTTCCATTAGCTATTGTTTTAAGAAAAAAAATAAGAAAGCGGATCTCAAAAAAAAAAAAAAAACCATCATCTGTGTACAATGCAAATAAGAGACATCTTAATTTCAAAAAAAAAAAAAAAATTCATCTCGCACACCATAACTAATTAAAATATTATGAAGTCCTCAAACACAAAAAGTAATATCCTGATTCAAGACTAAACCATTTTTTAAAATAATAGGAAATTTCTCAAAATGAGAGAGTATGATTAAGGATGACAACCAATTAGCGAGCCACCGCATCTAAAAAGAACCACGATTGCATCCATATTGCAACAGCATGAAATCACCTATAGTATGCAAGTTTACCAATATGTCAATCGAGATTGTGGCCTCAACATTTTACAACAATATTTCTTAATTGTTTTCTCAAAGTATCTCGTTCTTTCCTCTTTAGAAATGTATAAGTTAATTTTATTTTTTTATCATTTTTCTGTAATTCATGATTTAACTTGCTAGAAGGTACTTTAGGACCCACAGTAGCCATAAATAAACTATCAATGAAAGCATGCACCTCTGTACTTATTTCAAAATGCCTATAAATATATATATATATCTCCTTATGATAGCCTCTCACCTTTCCTTTCCCTATGAGCCAGATACAACACAAGAAATTAATTTAAGATTTAGTTCATTTTAATTAAGAATTTTTTATTTCTTTTAGTCAAAGTCAGCATTAATTATCTGTTGGATAATACTAGGCTAGAATTTAATTAATAATGTAGGATTATATCTGAATTCAAGCTTATTTTCTACGATCATATTTCAATAAATGTAGTTTTCTAGCTTTTCTTTGATCAGTTTATTGATGAATGAATTCAATTATGGATTCCTCCCCTATCAACTTCTCGATTCTCTCTCATAGTATCAGAACATATGAATCCTTCATGCACATGAGTTCGCACATTCCTATTTGATCAAATGATTTCTCAAATGCATCTCTGATTCACTTGCTCGCCACACATTCTTTTCATTGCACATTAAGTCATTGCTAAAGTAATAATCATATACAAAATCTAAGTCCGATCCATGACTTATGATCACAACGTTTCCCTTTCCAACTGTGCAATCTTCCTCAACATCGACTCAGTTTTTCATTATTAATCTCAACTCATTTCCTTCCATTTGCTAAATCATAAATCAGCCCATCCAATTCGCCATCGCTTGAGTCTTCTCTACCAACTACAAAAGTCTCGAACATCTTCCCAATCACTACAACCTCTTGTCTCGACCAAGCAAGCCTTCAGCAAGATTCCTATCTTTCAATTATTCATTGTTCCTCTCAATTGGAACGATCCAGTGCAAATATTGTTATTTGTGACAAAGTTGGCAACAAATCTCCCATCTCCTGATCACCTATCTACATTTAATGACTTCCAGTCAATCCATCACGCTAAACAACTCTTCTTCCAATCACATAAAGAGTCAATTCCTTCTAGGCCTTAAGCGTACTACATAACATTGGTATCAATTTTTAAACACTAAGATCAAGCTTTTTAGATTTCTTTATCTATTATCATATCATATAATGCATGCAATTTTCAGTTTATTTTCGTTTTTTATTGTCATTTGAATATTACAGTTTTTTATTTTTTATTTTTTATTTTTTATTTTTTTTATGCTATCCTATGATGGAAAACATCCAATAATTATGTGTAGGTAGTGCTTGGGCATGACAATTCTTGGTTGTGCTAACTACTTGGGTTCTTTAGTCTTTGGGCTGCTGGTTGCTTCTTGGGTTGGGCCTTGACAGCTCGGGTTTGGGCTATGTTCTTTGGGAGCTACTTGGTCCTAGCTCATAATTGCTTGAGCTGATGTTTAGCTCATTAATATGTAAAGTTATTCCTCATGTTAGCTCATTAAGTGGAGTTGAATTTTGTCTTTTCCTTTCTCTATGTCTCTTCGGTTTTTCCCCTCCCGATTCTCCTTCCCGTGGCCTAAACCGGTCCCCCTAGTTGCTGGTTCCATTCCCTGTGCTGCCCCTTCGGTTCCTCCCTGGCTGCTTGTCCCGTGGCTGCTTTTCCTGGCTTTTGTGTGGCCTTTTCGGGCGCTGTTATGGAATAGCTTATGGCCTTTTATTTCCCCTAACCTGATTGGTTCGGTTGGAGGTGGAATGACTATTTGGCTGCCCCCTTTTCTCCTATAAATTGGAGATGTTTTTAAGCATAAAGGGTTGTTGAATATTTGAGCATAGTCTCTACAAAAACCTGAGGGTTTCTTCTTTGGAAAAGCTTGAGAGCTTGTTCCATTTCTCTCTTCCTCTTCTTTATTTTGTCTTGGTCTTCTAACCTCTTCTTCTCTCCCTAAGTTCCACTCCACTTGTATATTTCTTCTTGACCTATTGGAAGGTGTTTGTTGGCTGATTTAGTGACAGTTGTTGGAGGAGTTTTGTTGGACGTTGGACCTTGTAACTATGGTGGACCATTGGTTTGAAAGCATTTAAGCACTTATTTTACTTTGCCTACTTTTTCATTAGAAGTGAGGAAACCGCTTGCCGGTTGTTCTGAGGATAGTGTTTTTTAATTTTAATTTTGTTTCGTTTGTTTGGCTTTCATTTATCTTGGTGTTTGTTTGGATGTATGCATTCTAGTTTGAATCGAGTTTTGTTCCTCTTTTGGCTCTTTCTTTCTAGTTTGCCTTCATCAAGTTTGGTATCAGAGCAAGTTAACAAATCCTAGGTTGCTGTGAGTCTCTTTCTTAAGAAAACAAAAATGGATAATAATCAAGGGGATTTGCAACAAATGATGTAACAGCTAGCGGATTTGCAAAATCAAATAAATAACATGACTAATACTCTTACAAATTTAAATGTTAATAATCCTAATGTTCAAACATTTGAAAGTAGAGAGGAAGTCCCTAGAAATCAAAATAGGCGACAACAAAATTGAGATTATGGGATTAAAATTGATGTTCATAACTTGGAAGAAAAATTACAACCCGACCAATTCATTGAATGGGTAGAAAAAATTGATCAGTTTTTTGAATGGAAGGAAATACCAGATAAAAGGAAGGCTAAATTTGCAAGCTTAAAACTCACTGGTCATGAATTAACCTGGTGAAAAAATCTTTAAAACAATAGACTAAGGTGAGGGAAAGAAAAAAATCAAAATTGGGAAAGAATGAAAGAGAAAATGAGAGGGAAATTTCTGCCTTCAGACCACGCACGAACTATATTTCAAGAGTTTAACAACCTTCGTCAAGGTAATCAATCGGATGAAGAATACACATAAATTTTCTATAAACTCCAATCTCGAAATGACTTAGATGAATCCGAGGAAAGAACTGTCACTAGGTATATCAACGGGCTAAAATGGACAATTCAGGATCAACTAAATCTGCACAACGTAATTAAACTCGATGAGGCTTATCAAATGGCATTAAAAATTGAAAAACAACATCAACGAGGTCACAAAAAAATAACTAAAACATATAAGCGAAGATAGACTAGCCGGGTTAAAACTCAATCGTCACAAACTTCTGTAGGAATATCAGGAGTATGAATTAAATCATTTGAAACTAAAAATATGGATAAAGGTAAAGGAATAATGGGGTCTAAACCTACTGAACAACCAAAACTGATTGGACCATATTATAAATGCGGGCTTTATGGTCATCTCTTTGCGTCTTGTAGAAAAAAAAAATCCTCCAAGAAATAACTACATTGAAAATGACGAAAAAATAGAAGAAGAAGAAGAAAATGAATATGAACCTGAATAGAGTTATTCGCTGCTTCATACAGGTGGATTGTCGTGCACTACTCGTTGCTTTCTAGAGGTGGATCATAGTGCACTAACTAATCTCCTGCCTTTGGATCGTAGGAGCTTGCACTTGTCGTATTCTCCATGCATTTATTGTGGTATTTGGTCTTTTCAGTACATCCGCTACTGCTACATGTAGGTAAGTAGATGTCTTCATTTATAGGCTGAAATTGACTTCAGGATACTGCATTTACTGAAGTCTTTCTGCATCTACCCATAAGTGGCATGTTATACATACATCCGTATTTGTAAATAAATTATATGTATTGCAGATCTTTAGTCATTGCTTGTAGAAGGTTTTATGTATTTGACTACTACTGAGTGGCTATCAATTGTATGGATGATTTAGCATCCACTGCACATTAATCGTCATCACCCATAAGTGGACTACTACATGAGTGAAAACTATTATATATTTGCTTGTGGTCAGCATGGTGGACTTGTATCATTGATCTTTGCTTGCAATCAACTTCAATAGGTTCTTAAATTTTGACTTTCGACACTTATAGATAACTTGACAAATCAAGTCGTTGATAAGTCACTTCATGATCTATCTATGAGCCTCGTGACCACCTTCAGGAATACCTCGTACTCCCGATACTTGAGGCATTTGGAAATTTGGAGGATCAGTGGAGGATTGGGTATGACACCAACAGCGGCAGTTCTCTGCATCATTGCCCCCATCTGAGCCATCATCTCAGTCATCTTCTTATTTAACTGAGAGATTTATCTATCTTTGGCTCTCATTTGTCGCCTTATATGTCTTTGCATGTCTGCAAGTGTGACATTCTCGTCAGCGAAGGGATTCTCCTCGG